TAGAACGATGGCTACCAGGAGAGATGCAGTTTAGTATTTAATGGCCACAGAACCTCAATTTGGGACAATGAAAAAGTTCTGGAGATGAGTAGTGGTGCAGGTTGAACAACAATGTGAGTGTACAATTAAAAGTAGTTGGGGCTGGTGGAGAGGCTCAAGCAGTAGGGCTCCTGCCTTGCAAGAGTGAAGCCCTGAGTTCAAACCACAGTGCCGCCAAAAAGAACAAAAATGTATTCCTTTCCTAGTAAACTTTACTATCACTTTTACTACAAAAAAGTAGTTAAAATTATAAATTTTATATTATATATATATTGAACATCTATTAATACATTATGCATATATTACACAATGAAATGAAATGTAGGGTTGGTCTTTTTGAGTTTGTTTTTTTTTTTTGTGTGTAGGACTGGGGTTTGAACTCAGGGCTTTGCACTCACAAAACAGACACTCTATCCCTTGAGTCACAACCTCCAGTCCATTTTGCTCTGGTTATTTTGGAGATGGAGGTCTTGCAAACTATTTGCCCAGGTTGGCTTTGAACTGTGGTTCTCTTGATCTCAGCTTCCCAAGTAGCTAGAATTATAGGCATGAGCCACACTGGCCCCCAACAAATTTATTCTTTTTTATTGTTATTGGTTCTGGGGTTTGAACTCAGGGCCTCATACTTGCTATGTAGGCGTTCTATCACTTGAGCCACACCTCCAGTCCCATTTGTGCTTTGTATAAAGAGAATTTCAAGCTGGACATGGTGGTACATGCCTTAAATCCCAGCGCCTGGGAGGCTGAGACAGGAGAATGTTGGGTTCCAGGCCATCCTGGGCTGGACAATATAGTGAGATCCTGTCTCAAAAAGTAGAAATTTAGAAAGAAAAAACAAAAGGTGAGAAAAGAGAGAGATGATAAGAAAAGAGAGAGAAGAGAAAAGAGGGAGAAGATGGGAGGGGAGAGGAGAGGAGAAGCAAGCACCAGGGGCTCATGCCCAAAATGCTAGCTACTTGGGAGGCAGAGGTCAGGAGGATCTCAGTTCAAGGCCAGCCCAGGCAAATACTTCATGAGACCCCCATCTCCAAAAATAACCAGAGCAAAATGGACTGGAAGTGTGGCTCAAGCGGTAGAGAGCCTGTTTATAACATGAAGCCCTGAGTTCAAATCCCAGTCCTATGAAAAGAAGAGAAGGAAGGAAAGAAGGAAAGAGAGGAAGGGAGGGAGGGAGGGAGGGAGGGAGGAAGGAAGGAAGGAAGGAAGGAAGGAAGGAAGGAAGGAAGGAAGGAAGGAAGGAAGGAAGGAAGGAAGGAAGGAAGGAAGGAAGGAAGGAAAGAAGGAAGGAAGGAACGAAAGCTTTCGGTCAGGCTCAGAGGTACACACCTGTGATCCCACTACTTGGGAAGCTGAGACAGAAGGATCACTTGAGGCCAGGGGTCAGAGGCCAGCCTGGATCACACACCAAGACCCCATCTCTTTAGAGAGGGAGAGAAAGAGAGAAAGGAAGAGTGGGAGAAGGAACACTTTAGGTGGGATTAATTTACCTCACAGGTCCTGAAGGAGCTATAACTTTGAAAAACCTCTTCAAAGTGGGTAGTAAAAAGTATGTATTCTTGCCAGACACCAGTGGCTCACACCTGTAATCCTAGCTACTCAGAAGGCAGAGATCAGGAGGATCGGGTTCGAAGCCAACCTGGGCAAATGCTTCATAAGACCCCCATCTCCAAAATAACCACATTGAAATGAACTAGAGGTATTAATCAAGCAGTAGAGTGCCTGCTTTGCAAGTGCAAAGCCCTGAGTTCAAACCCTAGTACTGCCCCCGCCCCTCCCCCAAAAGCCTATAAAGGACATCATGAGAAAAATCTGCTTTTAACATTCAATATTTCTCAAGAGTCATGAATTTGAGTCCAGCCTGGGCTACAAAGCAAAACCCTGTCTCAAAAAAAAGAAAGAAAGTCATCAAATTTCTCTCCTTGTCCTTTTTTCTCTCTCTCTTTCTTTAAACTCAGGTCCTCTTGCTTGCTAGGCAAGCGCTCTACCCCTTGAGTCATGCCTCCAACCTTTTTCTTTTCTCTTTTTAGAAGGGGTCCTGCTGTGTTGTGCAGGCTGGCAAACTCCTGGGTTCAAACAATCCTCCTGCCTCAGCCTTCTGAGTAGCTGGGACTGTAGACATCAGTACCTCCCCTAGTTCTATGCTATTCCTTTTAAGTTCATTGTGAATTATTTACTAAAACAAAATTTATCAATCATATCATGAAATTTTATGCAGATTACAGTCAATATTCTTGTTTTACCTTTTCTAATGTTAATTATTTTAACCTCTAATAACAAAAAATAAAATCATATGCCAGCTGCTGGAACAATTAGAGATACATTCCTTCTTTGTGCATTAAAAGGAGGAGATTTTGATCATGTTTACCAAATTTAGTAGAACTATTTCTGAATTTGTATGTGTTTCCATTTAATTATCTCTTAAACCAAATTAATCATAGTTCCAAATTGTATCAATGTAAATACATTTCCCAACATAATATTGTTACCACATTCCAGTTACTGGACTTGGGCACCAGAGAGTTCTTGGTCTTGTCAGAAAAAGAATTCAAAGAGGGACACAGGAGAATTAGCAGGAGCAGGTTATTAATGCAAAGCAAAGGAAAAGTGCACCTTCCAAGTGGGAGAGTGGGTAGGCTCAACAAGCAGCACTGTGCTGGAGGTCCCAGGAGTTCAAGCTTTTATTTGGGTCTGCTGATTCAGGGGTGGTCAGTCCTAGAAAACTGGGTTATGTGTCATCAACTCCTCCCATATGTCAGGAGAGGGTGTTCTTGATCTTGGATGCTCACAATGGGGATGTCATTTTCTGTGGGCTGTGGGGCTATGGGTCAGCATGACCCTGCTGTATGTCACAAATCATTGCATTAACATCAGCAGGATGTGATTCCTTATCAAGATACAAGCCATCGTTCTCAGCCCTCAGGTCTTCTAACTCCTTACCTAAGTCATCAATATGGTGCCTAGTATCTCATTTCTTGCTTTGTATGAAACATAACATTATAAGTTAGGTAATGAGAACTTTTATAGTCTTCAAAAATGGCCCAAACAATGTATGCACATATGAATAAATGAATAAAGAAAAAAAAGGACAAAATTATATTAGAGCTTCCATAATTTAAAGTTGACTTCTCTGACATTGTCATGGATGGTGCATTCAGAGTTTCTTGGTGTGTTGTTTTGTTTGGCACTGGGGTTTGAACTCAGGGCCTCAGGCTCACTAAGCAGGTGCTGAACCATTTGAGCCACTCCACCAGTCCTATTTTGTGTTGGGTATTTTCGAGATAGGGTCTCTCAAACTATTGTATGGCCTGGCCTCGAGCCACAGTCATCCTGATCTCTGTCCCCTGAGTATCGAGGATTACAGGTATGAGCCACTAGTACCCATCTTCAGTGTTCTTTTTCTTTCCAAAATGCATACTAATGTAGTTATATGAATAGAAATGTTAGACCCAGTAAGTCTGATTTGACTGAATGATTTGATAGTAAGGATAAACTTTGCTAGTTAAGCTATGTTGTAGATATTGTGAAGACAGATGTGAAACTAACAAAAAGAAAAGAGGAAACCATTGTCTCTTCCCCTATTTTTGCGACAACTATTCTTTCCCTGTCTTATGGTTAGAATTGAAGAAGGCCCTCTTGCTGTTTCTTTTCTTTTTTTTCTTTTTTTGGTGGAACTGGGGTTTGAACTCAGGGCTTTAAACTTTCCAACTTGCAAAGAAAGTACTCTACCACTTGAGCCACATCTCCACACAATTTTGCTCTGCTTATTTCTGGAGATGGGGGTCTCAGAAACTACTTGCCCAGACTAGCCTTGAACCTCCATCCTCCCGATTTCAGCCTTCTGAGTAGCTGGGATTACAGACAGGAGCCTCCACACCAGGCCTCCCCAACTCAGTTCTTTTTTCTTTGGCAGTACTTGTGGTTGAACTCGGGGTTTTGTGCTGGCTACCACTTGAGCCAGGACTCCAACCTTCTCAACTCAATCTTGAAATAACAAGTCTGACATTTTTTAGATTCGATTTTTTTTTTTTTTTTTTTTTGCTGTACTAGGGTTTGAACTCAGGGCCTACTCCTTGAGCCACTCCACCAGCCCTTTTATGTGATGGGGGTTTTTTTGAGATAGGGTCTCACAAACTATTTGCCTAGGTTGGCTTTGAACCATGGTCCTCCTGATCTCTGCCTCCTAAATAGCTAGGATTACAGGCATGAACCACTGGAACCCAAGTAGGTTGGAGTTTCTTTCCTGGAGAAGATAATGCCATTGAAGCTCTTCTCAGTTGCGTCTTGCCAATTGGCTATCAGCACTAAGCTGAGGTAGTCCCCCGTCTGGATAGAACTAACCTCTAGGACACAACAGGCCCAGGCTAAAAAGCAACATTGTGGCCATATTCTAAACCCAATTTCACCGTTCAGATTTATCATCAATAACGCTGATGATTTTATTCTAATCAGAATCCTGCATATATTTATTTCTCAGTTAATTCAGAACTCTAAGGGAGAGGAATATTGTTTACTGCTCCATTTGGTGATGAGTTGGATGGGGGGCAGGGCTGAGGATACCAAGTAAAGAGCGACTATAAACCCAGCATGGTGGTTCATATCTATAAACCCAGCTCTCTGGACTGAAGCAGAAAAGCAGAGAATTCAAGGTCAGCCTGGGCCACATAGAGAGACCCTGTCTCAAAAACCAAAACAACAATAAATCAACTATGGGGAATGATTCCCAAGTCTTAGGCTAGAGCAATGATGGGGCAGGAATAGGAGAGTGAGTTTTGAGGTATAATCTAGAGCCTTGTTTGAAACCTAAGTTCTCAGACAACTATTTAAGATCTCCAAGTAGATAGTTGAATAGAGCAGCAGGAAAAGCCAGGCTGGAGCTGGAACATTTCAGGACCAGCAACATAAGCTATCTGAGCAGGAGTTGGATTAATGATAAAGAAGTCTTGCTTGTTCACAAGCTGTACCTTCTTCCTCCTTTCCTTTGATGGTGCAGGTCAGACTTGAATGATATTTTCGACACTCTGTTAATTTAGATAGCCTCTTGCCAATTTTGCTGTACATGGAACTATTGTGAGTCACTAGGAAAGAGAAAGAAGAATTAGAGGAATTAGTTCTCATTGTGTGTGCGTGTGCGTGTGTGTTTGCGCGTGCCGGAGTTGTGACATCCAGGGCCCACACATGCTATGCAAGCACTGCACCACTGACCTACACTCCTAGCCCAGTTCTCATTCTTTCAAGTGGAAAGAATGTTGGGTTGTAGAACTTCATGCTCTGCTAAGGCAACACTTAGCACTTTCTCTCCCATCTCCCTTCACCAGCACCCTTTTCCTTTCATGCTTCTTTCTGTAGAAGCCCAGCAAAAATACACCACCAATGCTGCTGCCTTGTACTTGAAATATATTTATCCTTTTTTTTTTTTTTTAATACAGAGTCTCATTATGTAGCCCAGGCTGGCCTTGACCTCGTGATCCTCCTGCCTCAGCCTACTGATTGCTAGGATTACAGACATGTGCCACCATGGCCAGTGTTCTGTATATCTTATTTGTTTATAAACAAGATTTTACAAACACACACACACACACACACACACGTACTTTTTTTTCTTTTTTTTTTAAGATAGGGTCTTGCTTCATAGACTAGGCTGGCCTGGAACTTGAGACTTTCTTGCCACAGCCTCCCAAGAGCTGGGATTACAGGCATAGGCCACCACTCTCGGCTTTCATTTAATTCTTCTGTTGGTTTTGTCCATCGAGGCATTTTATTTGCTTGTATGTTTTGTGTCCCTAGAAAAAGAATCCCAGGATTTTCCCTCCAGTATGTTTTTGTTTTCATCTTGCTTCTTCATGGTCCATGAGGCCAGCTAAGATTGTCAGTATAATGAATCTAAACTGTCAGGAATGGGAGAAAATTATTCTGCCATTCCTCTAGGTTTCTGAGCTGCACAATAAATGTGGGGTTATCACTCCACACTAGTTTACCCTGCCTGTGAGGTCACACCTGATTTTCCAATCAGAGGGTTTTTGGTTTTGGTTTTGGTTTTGTTTTGGTACTGGAGTTTGAACTCAGGGCCTCAGGCTTGTTAGACAGGTTCTCTACCGTTTGATCAACTCTGTCAGCCCTTTTTTTTTGTGTGTGTTGGGTATTTTTAGGATAGGGTCTCAAGAACTGTTTGTCTAGGCTGGCTTCAAACCGCAATCTTGATCTCTGCTTCCTGAGTAACTAGGGTTACAGGAGTGAAACACCTGTGCGAGGTTATGACCATGCTTTCTCATTACAATTAGAAACTAGACAAATAACTTTAGAGCTTGGCCTAATAAAGACCTGCTTTTGCCACTCTTTTCAGCATTGTTAATAGTTTTAGGGCATCAGCCAGGACATCCATGCTGCACCACGATGGGGACATGGAAAGATGGCAGAAAAAACTGAGTGCCATGGCTCACAATTGTAATCCTAGCTACTTGGGAGGCTGAGATCAGGAGCATCATGGACAAATAGTTTGTGAGACCCCCATCTCCAAAATAACCAGAGCAAAATTAACTAGAAATGTAGCTCAAGTGGTAGAGCACCTGCTTTGCAAGTGCAAAGCCCTGAGTTCAAACCCCAGTACCGCAAAAAGAGATAGAGGGGGTGATCTAACCAATGTACAATGTATGGCCATTCAGAGTTGCCACAGTGAATCCCCCCTGTACAACTAATGTATCCTAATAAAAATGGAAAAGAGAGAAAGAAGAAAAGAGAGCAGAAAGAATGGGAGGGGAGAGAGCAGGCAGTTCACTTAATTATTTAAGTATTTTGATTTTGATTGGTTTTTGTTTGTTTGTTTTGGGTTTTTTTTGTCGGTCCTGGGGTTTGAACTCAGGGCCTCACACTTACTAGGCAGGGGCTCCATCACTTGAGCCAGTCCACGAGCCCTTGTCATTCTGATTTTGAGGCTAAATCCACACTCCTCTATCTTTCTTTTAACTCTATCTTTAAGATCCTGCATGGCTTTTTTTTCCCTCTCAAATAATTAAATAACTATCCTTTTGCACCTTCCTCTGTTTCCTTGGCGGTAATAAGTGAAAAGACTGGCTGGATGTGGTGTCCATTGGTGATGATGACTCATTTCTGTTTGTAACCACCATATCAGATAAGAGAGAAGGTTTTAACATCCAGATAGTAGAAGATAGAGTGGAGAAATTTCTGATGTTTCATAAAAATATAAAACGTAGCCTAAGGAACAGCAATTAAATAGCTCATTTCCTTTATTTATCCCTGGTGTTCCTGCTTGAGTAATTTTCGAGGTCATGCCGGAAAGACTCCTACATGAAGATCAAATCCCTGGGCTAGAGGTGTCACTCAAGTGGTAGAGTGCCTGCCTAGCAAGCTCAAATCCCTGGGTTCAAACCCCAGCACTGCCAAAAAGAAAGAAAAGATCAAATCCCATAGTGTTGCAATCATAAAGTCGTAGACGGAATTTTTTTTCCTTTTTCTTCTTTTTTGGTACGGGGATTAACCCAGGGCCTTGAACATTCTGAGCACATGTTTTACCACTGGGTAACACCCCAGCCCTAAAAGAGAGATTTTAAAAATAAAGCAACAGATCAACACTGGCGGTCTAGTAACCTAGTAGTAGAAGGTGATATTTATCTCTTTTTTTTTTTTCCCAATATTTATCTTTTTTAATTTGCGGTGCTGAGGTTTAAACTCGGCCTACACCTTGAGCCAGTCCACCAGCCCTTTTTTGTAATGGGTTTCTTCTAGCGTCTCCGTGAACTATTATGCCTGGGCTGGCTTCAAACAACATTCCTCCTGATCTCTGTCTCCTGAGTAGCTAGGATCATAGGCGTGAGCCACTGGTACCTGGCTAGAAGGTAATATTTTAGGTAATGACTGCAAGGGCACACACAAAAGTGGAGATGCTATAACAGACTGTACTGTCACCCTAACATTCAAAATTTGGAGTCCTAACTCCCAAATTAATATTATTTGGAGATGGGGTAGGGTCCTCATGAGAGAATTATTACTTTTGTAAGAAGTGACACCAGAGCCACATGCCAGTGATTTATGTCTGCAATCCTAGCTACTTCGGAGGCTGAGATCAGGAGGATCTCAGTTCAAAACCAGCTTGGGCAAATAGTTCATGACGCCCCATTTCCAAAACAACCAGAGCAAAATGGACTGCAAGTGTGACCCAAGCAGTAGAGTGCCTGCTTTGCAAGTTCATGGAGCTCTAAGTTCATACCCCAGTCCTATAAAAAAAAAGAGAAGAGATACCAGAGGGTTTGCCCGCTTCTCCTTGTCCTTCTCCTTTTTCTCCTTCCTCTTCCACTTTCTCCCTCCTCCTCCTCTTCCTCCTCTTCCCTCTGCTCCTCCTCCTCTTCTTCAAGGTACTGGGGATTGGACCCAGGACCTCACACATGCTAGGCAAGCACTCTACTCTTAGGCCAGGCCTCCAGACTACTTGTGCAGTCCCTTCCTTTCCAAGTGAGGACATAGTGAGGTGACAGTGTCTGCAAGACAAAAAAGAGAACCTCACCAAACCCCCCTATGTCATCCTAATATCAAACTTGACTTCCAAACCTGTGATAAAACCCATTTCTGTTGCTATAGCAAGCCAGTCTACGGTTTTCTGTTTATGATTACATTTGGGAAACTACAACTAGACCTAGGTGAAGCAAACCTCCAAGTACAGACAATTGTCCGAAATAATGAATAATAAAATGATAATGTGTTCCTTGAAAAGCATGATATTTCCAGCTGTAGGTGCCATTTTATGTCAAGAAAAGGGGAGCTACTTCTTCAGGAAATCTATAAAATATGACTAGGAAGAGGATGGAGAGAGCAGTGCACATGAGCCAAGAACTTACCCAAAGAACTCACAAGGAAACAGGCAGTGAGCAGTGAGATGGATGTCATAGCAACAGACCAGACCTTAACCTGGAACCACCGCAGTTCTTTGTCTGTTGGATCAGCAACATAAATGTGGTTATTATCTCCACTGCTGGAGGACCAGGGAAGCCAGCCTGGTCCTCCCAGGACCAGGATAATAGAGTCAGGCTAGGAACAAAACTAAGTTAAATAGAAAAAAATGTGAAAGCAAGACGAGACCACAGAAATTCCCTCAACAATTGGCCTAGAGTCCAAGACAAGTCAGGCAAAAGTCTCCCTGTGTCACCTGCACTTCCGGATTCCCTATTCTCTTTCTCTTGGAGTCTCACTCTCTTCCCATGATTCCCTCCATGTCTCCAATATCAGTTTGTCTTCAATTTCTCACCTCTTTGTATGGTCAAATTTATATTTTTCAAAGCCTTCTAGGCTTGAATTGTTTCATTTTGTCTTCTTTTTCTTTTTGGTGGTACTGGGGTTTGAACTCAGGGCCACTTTAGCCGTACCCCAGCACTATGAGTTGTTTTGTTTTCTCCTTTCTCCTTTCATCTTGGGTCCATACTTATTTCAGTACTGAAGTTAATATGACTTCACCATTCCTTCACAAGTACTTGTCACCCTTATGCCTATTTTCTCCCTTCTCCATGTTCTTGCTAATTTCTCTAGACTTGAGAAGATGAAAAATGCTCACCGTTATCTTGATTCTGTCCTTCTAGAGCCATTGCTTGTGCACATGCTCTTTTGTGTCCCTCTGGTCCAGGGTTCAGAAGTTCTTTCTGGACATCTGTCTCATCCTGGGCATCTGGCTTCCTTCAAACATGCAAGCTCATAGATCCTTCTGTACTGCTCTAGCAAATGTAGGAGATGTGATTCAGAAGACTGCAGTGAGCTAAAACTTCCATTCAAAATACACATTGTCTTCAGAAATGAGGAAGCAAAAAACGGAAATTGAGAAATCCATGAAAACTCTTCATGGGCATTTGTCTGATTATTTGTTCCTTTCCTTTCCCTTCTTTCTTGAGTTTGAACTTAGGGGCTCACACTTACTAGGCAGGTACAACACCACCTGAGCCACTCCCCCACCCTGAAATGTTTGTTTGTTTACTGGTACCGGAGTTTGAACTAGGGCCTTAGTGTTTGCTAGGCAGGCACTCTACCACTTGAGCCACTCCATCACCCTTTCTTATGCTGGGTATTTTTGAGATAGAGTCTCTCAAACTGTTTGCCCAGGCTGGCTTCCAACCATGATCCTCCCAATCTCAGCTTCCCAAGTAGCTACTATTACAGACATGAGCCACCAACACCCAGCTGAAGTCAGGAATCTTACACATTTTTGGCTGAAAGAAAGAATAGGGTCCTGAGGCACAAAAAACAGTAGCACAAGGCTGTATGGTCTCAGAGGAAGTCTCCCTGGGTATCAGGAGTTTGGGGATTCTTCCAGATACTGGTTCTACTAAATCACAAGATAGCAAGATATTCTCAGAGTAAACTTTTTTTTTCTGGTGGAACTGGAGTTTGAACTCAAGGCTTTGTGTTTGCAAAGCTGGCACTCTACCACTTGAGTCACATGTCTAGTCCATTTTGCTGTTGTATTTTGGAGATGGAGTCTCACAAACTGTTTGCCTGGCCTGGCCTCAAACTGTGATCCTCTCATTCTCAGCCTCCCAAGTAGCTAGGATGATTGTTAGGAGCCACTGGCACCCAGCTCTCAGAGTAATCTTAAATAGCATAAACCCATCACAGCCCATGCTAGTCAGACAGATGTTTAGATTGAAGAATGCTTATAGCTAGCGGTGAAGTCAAGGCTGAGAAACCATCTGAGGTATTCTGAAATTATGCCTAGAAGTCAAGTGAAATTTTGCCTGAGGTTGTTGCTCAGGTGGGGAGCGCTTACCTTGCAGGTGTGAGGTCGGGGCTTAGACCCCAGCACTGCAAAGCAACAACAACCACCGCAACAAAAACTACACAGATGAGCCTTAACAATAATAGAGGGAAGGGGCGGGAAGTGTTGAGTTAAAAGCCATCCACTAAGACATTTTGGAATCAGAGCAATGAGAAAAGATGTCGCATGCTGAAACAACTGAAGTCCTGTTTAGTCTGCCACCTCCCTGCTATTTATAGCTTCCCTACCATCCCTCTGGCTCCGCCCACTGGGATTCTCCCTTTTCATCCCTCTGGCTGGTACTGGGATGTAAAGCGTTCAGCTATGCTGAGGAAAGAGGAGCACAGACAAAAGTGAGAACAATTATTAGAAACAAAACAAATCAAAAAAGCAGGAAGAATCACAAATCATTTTTTCAGAATAAAGACAGAATTGTGTGTAGGCCCAGGTCAGGTATAGAAATTCCAGAAGAGTACTTTAGTGTGACCAGAGAGTATTGCAAAAGCTATAAAAAAGGGGAAAAAGACAAATCCAGATAAAAATTGGGACTGGGATGTAGCTAAGTGGTAGAGCACTTGCCTGGTGAAAGTGCTGGTTTAATACCCAGCACTATGGAAGAAAAAAAGAAAAAAGCCTCTCCAGATAAAAATTGGTAGGCACCACCAGGTGCGGTGGTCTGTGCCTTTAATCCCTGCACTCAGGAGACAGAGGCAGGAGGACCATGAGTTTAGGCCAGCCTGGGCTACATAGCAAGACCCTGTCTCAGAACACAAAAACAAAACAACAACAAAAGGATTGGTAGATGTTTTGCTCAATTCCTCTTCACCTTGTTGGTGAAGGAGGGAGTCCTACCCTAAGGCTAGGAGAGGGCTGGCCACACAGTGCCCCCTGCACAAAGGACACTGACAGTTTACTCTGCCGCATACTTACAGACTAGGGGAGGAGGACACAGCACACACAGAGAGATTGGAGTTGGAGGCGGAATAAAGAGGCTGAGATGGTGAGAAGCAGGATTTATTTAACACAAGACTGAGCTGACCTGTTTGAATAATTCTGTGGGCTGCAGGAAAGTGAAAGCTATTTTCTGAAGGACCAGATGGAGTGCAGGTGGCCCAGGTGACATGAGAACCATCTGAGGGTGTGGAGGAGCAGGTGGGGCAGAATAGAGGAACTCTTGGTTAAGCCTTTGGCTCCTGTAAGTTTCAAAGATGTCAAGGCAACACAAGAGATCTTAGTCCTTACGGTATGCTAGAATTAGGAAACACGGACTCCACAGATACTTCTTTTTTCTTGCAGTGCTAGGGATTGAACCCAGGTCCTTGCCCATGCTAGGCAAGTGCTCTACCACTGAGCTACATCCCCAGCCCCAGATACTTCTTCTGTAAGAGACAAGATATATGATGAATCAACATTTGAACTTCCCTAAGTCTGTAACAGGGGCTTAAAAACTGCTTTTGCTGAGGAACACTGATTCCTCACTTGGGCCCAGGAATTAACTAAAGGCAGGAAACAGTTAGATGATTGTGACACCTCTTTTCCATAGAAAAAAGAGGTACACTGATGGCTCATGTCTGTAATCCCAACCACTTGGGAGGCACAGGTCAGGAGGACTGAGGTTTGAAGTCAGCCCAGGCAAAAAATTCGAGAGACTCCGCCTCAAAAATACTTAAAACATAATAAACGTTCTGGTGGAGGAGCTCAAGTGATAGAGCTCCTGCCTAGCAAGTGCGAAGCCCTGAGATCAAAACCCACTATTGCCAAAAAAAAAAGAAAAGGAAAAAGAAAAAGAAGTGGAAGGAATAAACTGACAGTGGGGAGACAGGCACCTAAGGCTCATGCCTATAATGTTAGCTGCCTGGGAGACTGAGATTAGGAAGATCATGATTTAAAGCCAATCCAGGAAAATAGTTCCCAAGTCTCCATTTCCAAAAAATAACCAGAGTAAAATGGACTGGAACTGTGTTCCAAGGGGTAGAGTGCCTGTTTTCCAAACACTAAAACCCTGAGTTGAAATCCCAGTCCCACACACACAAAAAAATTTGCCAGTGGGGAAAATGTAATGGGGACTACAAAAGGGAAAACTTTCGGTGTAGCCAGCTTGCATACTGGCCAATTAACTCTGCTTGTTAAGCAAACTGTCTGCATAGTGGACAGTTACTCTTCAATTAAACCAGGAGGTCTTCTCCCCACTCTCTCTGAACACCAGAGAAGTAAACTTGACATCCAAGACATACAGCTACAGAAATGTGACTCCTGGAGGCACCAGGAGGCACCTGGAGAACCAAGGTCAGCACCTATTCTGGGACACGTGTTTGGTCATGTACTCAAATTGAGCCCCTACAGTCCCCTTTAAAAAGCAGACATTTTCTCTCAGAATGGGGACGGCAAAGCTATGAGAGGTTGACTCTCCCTGACCTCTTTGTCTGAAGAATAATAAATCTAATTTTCTTTTCTTTTTAACTGGGGCTTGAACTCAAGGCCTTCACCATGAGCCACTCTGCCAGCCCTTTTTCAAGACAGGGTCTCTCGAACTATTTGCCTGGGCTGGCTTCGAACTCTGATCCTCCTGATCTCTGCCTCCCGAGTAGCTAGGATTACAGGCGTGAGCCACCAGCACCCAGCTCTAATTTTCTTTTCCACAAAAACCCTGCTCTTGTTATTTGTGAATTGGCACTGAGGCCAGGGGACAGTCTTTCTGCACATGTGCAGTCAAAACAGAATGCCCCAATGCATTCTGTTATAATTAATTATTTTGGGTGGTACTGGGGTTTGAACTCAGGGCCTCTCTCTTTCTAGGCAAGCTCTCTACCATGATCCACTCTGCCAGCCTGCATCCTGTAATGAGGTGCAGTTCATATGTATGAAGTTTTAAGGAAGAGGTGTCTCAAAGGTCATCCAAGGACAGGTTCCCCAGTCCTCAGAACAAACATCCTCTTTATCACCATGTGGTGGCTACTGAGTTAACCACAAAAAGGACTTCTACAATACCAGCTACACAGAAGGTAGAGATGGGAAGGATCAAGGAAGGTTCAAGACCAGCCCACACAAACTGCGCATGGAGGCATAAATCTGTAATCCCAGCTAAGAGGGGGGTGTAGGTAGAAGGATCTTGGTCCATGGCAAAAAGCACAAGACACTATGTGAAAAATAACTAAAGCAAAAGGGACTGGAGGTGTGGCTCAAGTGGTAAAGGGCTTGCCTAGCAACTGCTAGGCCTTGAGTTCAAACACTGGTACTGCCAAAGCGGGGGGGGGGGGGGGAGGAAAAAAAGCAAGCACTCTCTTACACTTAAAACTTAACATTTATGACCAACCCACACTGCTGTACTCTAACATCATATAACATCAAACTCAGACCTGTACACTTAGACAATTCAAGGAGCAAGTCGCAAGAGATTATGCAATCCCTCCCCCAAAACAGTTCAACTCACTCAGGAAAATAATTTTCAGAAACTAAGTTAATCTAAAGGATCTCCTCCTCCTTAACATAGGGCCTATCCTTTTACCTAGGTTTACACCCTGGTCTTGACACTGTGGATTTCAAGAAAAGTCAAGGAAAATAGAATGAAAATATATTGCTTCACCTCCTGGAGTGGAATGGGTTCAGGTGTCCCACTGTCCGCCCTTTCTCTTCCAAATGGTGGTGTGGTAAGTCTCTGTCCTCGTGGTCATCCCCAGGCCTGGGCCTTGCATATCAGCAGTGAGAAACAGGAAAAGCACACACCATGCAGAAGAAAAGGTATCTGAAAGGAAAGAAGGAAAGAAGAGAGAGAGGGAGGGATGGAGGGAGGGTTTGTGACAATCCACCTCTGTATATAATCTTTTTTTATGGTTGTGGGATTTGAACTCAGGGCCTACACCTTGAGCCACTCCGCCAGCCCTTTTTTTGTGATGGGTGTTTTCTTCAAGACAAGATCTTTCGAACTATTTCCCAGGGCTGGCTTCAAATCCTGTTCCTCCTGATCTCTGCTTCGA